ACTTATCAAAGTAAGCCGTTCAAAATTAGTATTTCGAAAATTTTGATAACATGCTAACTTTAAAAATTATCCAATAATAGTACGCTAATCGAATTTACAAATTGCTTATGTCATCTCAAAACTTATTTCGAGAACTAAATTATTGGCATATCGAATAGTTCAAACAGATATCGAAAATAGTTAAAAATACGTTAAACTTGAGTCTTAAAAAAAGACGTTTAACTCGTATTTTCTTTTTAAAATTCAATTATTTCATTAACATTTATTATTTTTGCAATACAAATTTCTCAATGTAATTTTAATCATTTTATTAGAAAGTTTTATATGGAATATGATATCAAAAATTTTCGAAATTTTACATCCGGAAAAGTCATATCTCATATAAATTTTCGGATGTAAAATTACATGGAGTATGATTTTTTTGGATGTAAATTTTTAATTGTAAAATTTCTCCCAACTTCTTTGCAAGTTCGATTGTGCCCCCCTAACATTTAAAGTATGTGTCCGCCCCTGCATGTAAAAGAGACGATTCTTGAACACAAATCCATAAATTCTCCACATCGATTCAGGTGGAGAGATCCATCTTGCATTTTGATATCTTGAAATTTCATCAATAGTCACATCTGAATCATTGCCATTTACAGAAAAACTAATTCGATCATGTCCCTTGTAAACATATTTATATAAATACTTTATGGCCTTAAGAGTTGAGCATATTTCCACATTAATATGGCAATCATATTTTGCTGTCAGGTAAGGGTTATAAGGTACAACCCACCTATTATCTAGTAAATGTCCTCTTACCTTAACTTGTTGAACGTCATTACGGCGTTTATAGAATGGATACGAATTGTTTCCTAGCGAAGTTGTTGATATGTAATTTCTACATAATTGGTTACTTTCCATACAAACATTTTTTGGATTTCATATTCCACAAGGACCGTGCATCATATGTCTAACAACAGCAGAATATAAATGGGCGTTTTGATTTTTATCTGGAATTTCACAGCAAACAATATTATCCACTAAAGAAACAGACGTAACTTTAGATCTAGATTTAAAAATTAATAAAAAATGAGCATATGGAAGACCTCTTTTTTGGAATTCCACAACGTATATATATGCAACAACAAGTCTTAGAACATGCCTTTTAAATAAATCATTCTTTAGTTCCTCTGATTTAGCTCTAAATATTCTTGCGAACAAGTCAGGTCTATTTTGTTTTTCATCATTATATCTAAGTTCGTCTTTTATTTCGGGCCAATTAGGATTACAAGTCACCGTCAAGAATACATCTGGTTTACCATACCTTTAAACAATTGTCATTGTATCCATATATCTTTTTTATTATCCCTAGGTCCTCCAGTAAAGGAAGAAGTAAAATAATCCTTCGACCAATTTTTTGACCTCTAGTTTCACCTACTTCAACACAATCAACAATTCCTTGGTATAACTCCGCTCATATTTGCTTTTGATTATTACGAAAATAATCTAACCTAGCAGTCTCAATTTTTACACACATATTAACTATATATTGCTGTAAAAGCCTACCAGCATGAAGCAAGATACAACCATCTGAGTCACGTACCTGTAATTTATGGCAATAATACACTTGACAAGATATACACGACCTTTTGCTTCCCTTCATTACTGCATGATAGAAAAATACAAACAACAATGAAGCTCAATATTTTGGAATGAACAAACTCAATTTTCAGGGTAAAAATTTAAACATAAGAGATATCATTAACCTTCATTTTCTCTTTCGATTAATTCACTTCCAGAATTCATGTTGTTGATATTTAAAGCATTCTCTTGTACAGAAGAACATTCGAAGATCTTTTTATTTAATCTAGGAATACCCTCATACCATCCAGATTCACCGTAAGGAAAGAGCAAGGGTATTGAAGATAGTCATAACAACCAAAATAATAGTGGACTTTATATGAAGTGCCGAATAACCATAAATAGTTATATCACGATCTCTA